TTTTTAAAAATTAAGAAAAACAGAACAGATATGTTACAAAATCATATTTTAAAAAATAATTAGAGAGTTATAGGAGCAAAGAAGACTAGATGAACAAAATTACAGAAAGAGAAGAGTCTTTCCAACAAGAACTGAAATCGCAAGCTACTTTCTTCTCTGGGAGCATTTTTTTTTTTAACTTTATTGAGGGTTTTTGAGTCTGGGCACAGGCTGAACGAGAATCAAGCTCAGCTTAGACCTAAGGCAGCTATGGGAAGGAACAGAATGAAACCAGCAGAGCTTCTGACAGCCTTTCTGGCTGGCATGATGGGTAAGTCTAGAGGAGTCCCAAATGCATAGCTCTTTTTCCCAGTGAATATTTGCTGAGCACTGGGAGAGCTGGGGGTTGGGCTAGGAAGAAGGGAGAGATCACTGGAAGACACAGTGATCACTGGAAGATCACTGGAGGAGGAAGCCTATAAAAAAACACAGCAGACTTCACCCTTGAGACAACTGAAGATAGAAATAAACCAAGTCTACCTAAAGCTGCAGTCCAGTCCCAACCCAGCTCAGTTCCTGATTGCATTGAGATGAGCTGCCCCATACACAGGAACGAACAAATGTGCTAGAGGAAAATCATATCAACTTCAGTCTCTACACTTCTTTTATACAAGCCCAGAAAACTTTTATGTTGAAGTTTTCTTGTCTTGGGGCTTTTCTTGTTTTTTTATGGTTTTTTGTAATGCATATAACATGTGAAAAGATAGGAAAACATAACGAATAATCAAAAGAAGAAATAGGCATTAGACTCAGACCCCCCAAAAATTCAAACATTCAAGTTAACAGATAAACACTTTAAAAATAACTATTGTAAACAATGTTAATTAAAATAAAGGAAAATATAACAAAATGGAGGAGAGAAGGAAGAATTTCAACAGTGAATTGGAATCTGTAGAAAAGGACCAAATGGGTATTCTGTAACTAAAAAATACAATATCTGAAATTAAGAATGAATTAGATGGATTTAATATCAGGCTGCATACAGAAGAAGACAGGATTAATAAACTGGAAGGCAAGTCAGCAGAAAATATCCAAACTGGAATGCAGAGATTGAAGGAAAAAAATGGAAAGAGCAGAATAGAGCATGAGAGACATGGGATGGTGTCAAATGTTCTAG